TGGCTGCTGGCTACACACGGTAGCCCATGGCAACCCACTGCAGCAGGGGCTGCAGCCTACGCCATCGCAGGCGACTCACGGCAGCCCAGCTCCAGGTTGAGCTATTGTTCAGCATATTAGCTGTAGAGGGCAGTGTCACTGGCTCTTACATGTGGGATCTGAACCGGGGCCCTCTGGCGTCCCAAACCAGTTCTTAACCATCGCGCCACTCGGCCGGCCCTATGGTCAATTGATTTTTGACAAGGCTGCCAGGACAATTCAATGGGAGAAAGAACAGTCTTTTCAACAAAGGTACTGTGACAACTGGATATTTGCATGCAAAAGAATGAAGTTGGATCTCTATCTTACATCACATAAAAAATTTAACTCAAAATGGATCATAGACCTCAATGTAGGAGCTGTAACCAGAAAACTCTTAGAAGAAAATGTAGGAGTAAATCTTTGTGATCTTGGATTAGGCATTGGTTTTTTAAATGTGAATGACACCAAAAACACAAGCAACCAAAGAAAAAATTGATAAATTGGATTTCATCAAAATTAATAACTTTTGTGCTTCAAAGGACACTATCAAGAAAATGAGGGTGATGATTTTGCAACTCTGTGAATATACTAAAATCAATTGAATTGTAGACTTTAATGGTGAATTGTATGGCATGTGAATCATATCTCAATAAAGCTGTTACAAAGAAAAAAGTGAACAACAAACAGAATATTTGCAAATCACATATGTGATAAGGGTCTAGTATTCAGAATGTATACTAAACTCTTACAACTCCACAATAAAAAATAAATACCGTATTTCCCCATGTATAAGATGCACCCTTTTTTTAAAAATTTGGGGTCTAAAACCTGGGTTTGTCTTATACAGTGGTTGTAGATTTTTTTACTTGCATTTCCTGCAAGTGATGACGAGTTGTATGAATTTTATGATGAATAAAACGAGTTCAATAACTATGTAATACATTTTTTTCAAATTTTGGGCCCCAAAATTAAGGTGCGTCTTATACATGGGGAAGTACAGTAATCCAATTTAAAAATGGGCAAAGGATTTAAATAGACATTACTCCAAAGAAGATATACAAATGGCCAAATGGTAAAATGATGCACTTTGGAAAACTGTCAGTTCCTCAAAAAGTTAAGCATAGAGTTATATGACCTAGAAATTCCATGCCTAGATATATACCTAAGAGAATTGAAGACATATGTTTACACAAAAACTTGTACACAATGTTCACAGAAGCATTTTTCATAATAGCGAAAAGGTGGAACAACCCAATGGTCCAACAATTGATGAATGGATAAATAGAATGTGGTATATCCGTGCATGGAATATTATGCAGTCATAAAAAAGAATGATACATTAACTCATGCTACAATATGAACGAAACTTGAAAACATCATGCTAAATGAAAGAAGCCAGACACAAAAGGCCACATATTCTGTGATCCCAGTTATATGAAATGTTCAGAATAGGAAAATCTATACAGACAAGGTAGCTTAGTCATTGGTGGCTGAGGGGAGGAGGGAAAGGGGCGTGACTGCGAACAGGCACAGGGTTTCTTTTTGGGGTGATGAAAATGTCCTGGAATTGGATAGTGCTAATAGACGATCACTGAACTAATTGTACACTTTAAAAGTGAATTTTATGGTATGTAAGTTATATCTCAATTTTTAAAAAAAGCCTGAGAAACTGTCGCATGACAACTAGATGTAAAAAATCTTACAAAAGCACAAAGTAAAAAAAAAAAAACAGTCTCACCACCCAGGATAACTTACCATTGTTAATGATGCATGAATCTCTTTTCAGTCATTTGTGTGCATATATGTATGTACAAACAAAAATGGGGTCGTGCGTGTACCCTTGTCTGCCACCTCCCTGCTTCACATGGTAATACATCATGAGCATTCTCCTACATCAGCCAATACT